CTTCCTAGTCCACCTGATTGTTCCTGATTTTCCAGCATTTATAAGTGGAAGTCAGCAGCTGAATTTCTCCTGGTTTCTGATTTCATTGCAAATGGAGCTTGGTGGGGTTCGCAGGCTCTGAAAGCCTCACCTCGGCTCTCCCTAGGCTAGGGTCTTCCTGAGCTTTTGCTGTGAGCCCCACCTGACCCCAACCGTAGTTACTCCGTTGTAGGGGCTCTCCCATAGCATACCCTTGGAGGAATGTGGGAACTGGAAGCTTCCATTTGCACCACCCAGGACATAAAAATATCTTAGGAATACTTCAGTCTGAACTTTCATTTACTTTTCACACAACTCCATAGACTTTTTAAAGTGGTGCCCACAGTTTAGTGTAGACATGGACTACAAAAGTCCTAAGTGGAAATGAGAGCAAAGGCTTGCTTATTATTTTGTCAATTTACCTACCACATTTTCCTCTCTCTGTGGTTTGCTCACTCACTCTTTGCTTTTCCTGCTTCTGTCACACCTGTTCAGTTTGCCTTTCTCCAATACCTCATAAACATAAAGGGTAGCTTTTGGTTTTTTTCTTCCTGTCATCACATCCTATTTATAGGCTAGGTCAGCAAGCCCTGTGCCTGGGTGTCATAGGTTGAGAGAGTCTCTTCTCTTAACTGTCATTCAGAGAGGCAGTGACAGTGTTGTCTTGATGCTATCACTAACATAGGACTATAATCTGAGACCACCATGCTTGGTTCTTAATATGTAAAGGAATTTGCAAAAAATCCTCTTTCACCACAAAATCTGGGTTTTTATGTGTATTGATGTAAAATTGTAATTTGAATGAGTTTCTTTACATTTCTTCTATATCAGTCCTAATCTCCCTTTCAGCTCATATACCATTGCCCCATAACGATGCATGCGTGCACACACACACATGCGTGCATACACTTATCTGAGAAAAGAATGAATTCATGGGCAGACCAAGGGGAAGTATATGTAGTACGTGGGGAAAAAAAGGAGGGTGAAAACATTGTCTTTTTCAAATGAAAGTAGTTCTGGTTTTAAGAATTTGCCTTACATGCCTGAATAACTTTAGCAAGATCTTAGCAGCCAGCTAGTGAGGTCAACAGGATTGCTTTCTGCTCCTCTGCCATTTCTTTCCCCTTTCCTGGCCTAATCTGTTAAAATTTACATTATCTTACATGTCCAGAGCCAGCTCTGCTCCACTCTCCTAATATCTCCACCTTCAACTTCCAAATGCTAGAGCACCTGTCTTCTTATAGTTCTAAGCCCTTCTGGTCTCTCCTTGCACCATTATTGTAATGCCATCTCAGCTTCTTAATCCTGGTTATGTACATCTGTCAGGGATGAATTTGTCTCACTCTTTTCCGTTCCTTTCCAGCCACTCAATATCCTGTTTCAGGCCAGGAATCACTGTCAATTAATGGAGTCAGACATTTTATTACCTAGAGTTCTTTCCCACTTTCAGGAAGTCTTACACAGTTGAAATCAGAGCTCTCACAGGAAGGTGACCTTCTAGGCACTGTCACTAATATAGGGAAAGATTTTTGGCAATCTCTCCATCCAATAAGAGGGACATAGTGGGAGAACAAATACTTTTTGCCATTAAGAATGTCAGGAAGTGGATTTGGGAGTCTCTACTAGTGGCAGGGATTATAAGAGGGGGAGTTCATGAGCCCTGAATCCTTTTTTTCTTTTTCCGTTGGAACTCTTATTAAATTGTAACATGCGGAATACATGTGGATAGCTTTTGGTAGCTAATTTTGGGGTCTAATGGCCCTGAAATACCATTTGGAACACAATGGCTTGGGGAAATATGCTTATAAATTGACTTATAAGCAAGTTTCTGGAATATAAACTTGCTATGGACTGAATTGTGTTCCTCCAAAATTCGTATGTTGAAGCCCTAACCCCTGATGTGATTGACTTTCGTAGGGCAGTTAGGAGGTAATTAAGGTTAAAAGAGGCCATAAGGGTGGGGTTCTAATTTAAAAGGGTTGGTGGCCTTATAAGAAGAGGAAAAGAGAGATCTGTCTCTCTCCACATGCATTCACTGAGGAAAGGCCATGCCAGGACATGGTGAGACGGCAATCATCTGAAAGCTGGGAGGAGAACTGAACCAGAAATTGAATTGGCTGGTGCCTTGACCTTGGATTTCTAGCCACCAGTACTGTCAGAAGTAAATTCTTGTTGTTTAAGCCACCCAGTCTGTCGTATTTTGTTGTGGCAGGTCAGGCTAACACAAACCTGTTCATACATTCAGAATTAAATATAGTTACTCATTTATGAATGGTTTATATCTGCAATACTTACTACTATTACCATTTAGTTATAAGTTAAATGTACATAAAACATATGTTGAAGTAGTATTTAGAGAAAATTTTTTTTACGTTTAAATACAAGCAAATGAATGATAAATTCTATAGATTCCAAAATAGAACCTGTTTAAGGAGAAGTCTACACTAGATGTGGTCAAAACTTCAAGCATCCATTGAGCATCTATGTGCCCAACACACTTTCCACCAATAACCCTATCTTTATTATATAATAAAAGTAATTCCCATACTATAATTCTTAGCCCCCAGTACATAGTAGATACCTAATAAATGTTAGCTGAATGTAAAAATTAATCTTGATTAGTAGAGGTTTATACATCAAAATTAATGGCACAGACACAGAGTATTGCCTCTAAAGAATGCTTCTAGGAAGAAAGAACTATATAGACAGGAAGGTATATATGAAAGCTTTTTGTGGCTATCTAATGCCCCGTAATATTATGGTTAAAGAAACATTGTTCTCAACTGTTGGAATATTTTTCTAATCAAGTTATAGTATTTATAATTTTTTGGAAGAAAATTATCTACTGTTGTTTAAAGAAAAAACACTTTAATACATTTAAGAAAACTTACAGTGATTTCCAAAATCAAGTAAAAAGGGGTTTGGAATTATACGTTGTTCTGAGTCACCTGTGAAGTCTTTTGGGATTTATTGATTTGTTTTATGTTGCTTGCCTTTGCAATAATTTAAAATCTGATGAATGAGGACTTTACATGGCACCTGTAGCTCCATAATGGTTGAAAATTGGTTTAAAAGTATTCAACACAATGTAAATGTTGATTTTTATTTTTCAACTTAAGCAACCATCTTCCTCAAGGATATATCCTCTTGAAGCTCAAATAACTACTTATTTATAATGATTCAGTAAAAATATAACACTTTCAATCCAGAGGGAAAATGATTAGGTTCCAGTGTTCATTTGTTGATTCCCTTACTTGTTAGCTGATAGTGTTGGTCATGATGATGTTGACGATGAAATGGGCTGAATGTTCTTACAAAGCAAGTGTTATTTCAGGGATATGAAAGAAAGACATGTTGTCAGGGTCAGAGTTCTGTGTGAGGGTCCTCAGACCAGTTGAGTGGTCTCTCTAAGCTATAGTGTGCTCACTCAGTAGCAAGCTCATTCAGGAATCAGCCTCAGCTATGTGCTAGGCATTACAAAATGGGTGTAACAGCAACGAGAACAGTAGTAGCTAACAGTTGCCTATCACTTACTCATTTAATCCTCACCAAAATCATATGCAGATGGTACTTTTAAAAGTTGCTATTTCATAGGTAAGGGAACCAAGGCACAGGGTTGCTAATTAATTGATTGCCCAATGTCACTCACTTTTTAGTGGTGAAGCCATAATTTCACCTGGATGGTTCGATTCCAGAACCTTCTCTCTTCATACTTTGCTGTTGTTGAGAGGATCTTAATATTCTATACATTTATGTATTTTTTATTGTTCTTGACAGAATTTATAGTTTTAAGGCTTTCATGAGCAACAGCATTTGAAAATGCTTAGGGAAACTGCTTAGTGCGTTGTGAAGGTGTGTTATTATTTATTGTATTTGTTCCCTCTCATTAGGCCTCTTTAATTCTTATTTTTTTTAAAAAAAAATTTTTTTGTGTGTGTAGGACTTCTCTTCTTTGACTCTTTGAGAAGTCTTGATATTTGCCCAGTCACAAAATTTTTATTGCATTTCCTAGTACTCCAAGTAATGAATGTGTCCTAAAATTAGAGATATCTGCCATTTGATACTGTTATTTTTTATATAATGGAATATTTAATGCATAAAAATATGTAACATATGACAATTATAAGTCACTACTATTGCACTTTTCTTGTCCTTGTTGTATATGTTTTCTTACTGCATGCACAAAAAAAGTAAACAGCCCTTTATAAAGGTAAATTTAAAATATTGGTTTATGCTTTGTTTTGATAATGTTCTCTAGTATAGAAGCAACTATGTATTTTAGTGGCCTATCTCATTTTAATAATATCAGTTTGCCCTGAAACTAGCCACCAAACTGTATTAAATGTTAGAAATTTTAAGCTTCTACTTTGAAAATTGAATCACTCCTTGCAGTTGAGTGTTGGGCATGTTTTAAGTGTGAGGACCACACACTCTTGCATTCATTCGGACAACCTGAACTGCTACTTCCTACTCTCTGACTGCGACTGCTCCCTGGCTAATAATTGTCTTTGGCTCCCTGTAAACCTGCAGCCAGGAAAGTATTTGAATTTTCCCCCTCTAGCACTTGCAAATCCGATTTTTATGTATAGCTAAGTGCTCTTAGCTTTTGCTCTATCTACTACTGGGGCCTGGTTTCTTGCAAGCCTGTAACTACGCCAGATTCGGCCTATGTAATGCTGTTTGTAATGAGAAATCTAAACAGGGAATGGCAGTGAGGCATGGCAGGAATGTGTTTCCATTGGAGAAGTCAGTGTAGAGAAAAAGTATAAGCAAAGCTGTGTCCAGAAGGCCTTTTCAGCTGGCCAGGGCGGAAGACTCATGTTATTGTACATAGGCTGTTACCCTGCCAGCCCTTCCTCACAAATTTGCTTTCTCTCTCTCCCCGTCTCAACTCCCCTCCTCCTCCTCCCTCCCTCTTTCATCTCCTCCTTCTCCTGTCCTCCTCTGCCTCTCTTTCTGCGGGCTGCTGACTGTTTGCTCAGGTGGACAGTGACACCATTTGGAATGAGCTGCACTCGTCCGGTGCTGCACGCATGGCTGTTGGCTGTGTCATCGAGCTGGCTTCCAAAGTGGCCTCAGGAGAGCTGAAGGTGAGGTCTGGGTTGCATTAAGTGTGGGAAATCCAGAGAAGAAGCTGAAACAGAGATGTTGTTGTTTGGGAATTGTGGGGAGTGTGGTGTGGTAATAAAAGGAGTAGGGTGGAGGAGAGGGGCAAGGAGATGGCCGCTGAGGTGTGATCATAAGTAGTCTGTAGGTAGGTAGTAGCTGATCCTGCTCGTGGGCCGTCCTCTCCTTGGGGGAACTCTGTGGTCAGGGCACTGTGGTGTATTTTTAAGAGCACAGAATGGTGAGTAAAGCTATGGTCCAGGTTAAAAACACCCAGTATATACATATCTGTCATGCCCTCCTGGGATTCTCCTTTGAAGCGATGTACAAATTATGATTACTGAGTACGAAGTATAAGCTCAGAATACCACCCAGAGAGAGGGCGGGGAGGGGGGTAGAAAGGTAAATATCAGACGGGAAGGATTGGGAGGAAGAAGGAAATTGTTGATTAGAAGGGTAATGATCCAGAGTATGTTTTTCCATGAAAGAACTTAAAAAATGAGCTACGCTTTATTGTTCTTTTCTTTTTATGGTCTCTTCTTTTCTACATCATGTGAAAAGAACAATGTCCAAACCCCAGTGTTTCCCAGTCTAAACAATTTATAAAAGCCAGAGACCTGACAGACGTTGACATTTTATTTGGTATTTTAACAGTGCTATTTAAAGGTATACCATGTGCATATTGAATGCAGTTGCCCCAATAAACTTTTTTGGTGCTAACATGGCTTTTTAATGCACTAGTTAACACACTTCATAACGAAATCTAGGCAGTGGTTATTTTGGTATTTTTAGCAATTGTGGGGCTTAGGGGAAATATATTGTAATGAACAATATTGGCTCTGTGGGTTTTGTTAATCTAAAATAAAATCTAATTAGGATTATTTTCCTTTCTGTCTCATGAATTTTATTCAGTTACACCTGACTGTTTCACTTGTGATTAAAAATGCAGGGTAGGAGTGTGCACTTCATAATGCATTGTCTGTCCCAGAAGTCTTTGCTCTAACTCTTTTAAGTCAGAACCTACAGAAATATAATTTTGATAGGGTGGGCTATATTTAAAAATATATATGTGTTGATAGGTAGGTGGATAGATGGATCATATTTTTATGCCTCATGTAAAGTTGACATGACATGATCAACATCAGGACATTAATTGCTCATCTCAGGAGATTTATGAGGCCATTGATGTGTTGCTTAATATTAAGTCTTTACCTTTGATAATGAGCTATTGAAAAGAAGAAAGGAATCAGCCCTAGGAGAGGTTTTGGCTCTTACTTCAGGAATAATTCTTCCTGTTTGAGTATGTCACTTGTAGAATAAATTGACATTTAAAAAAATATTCGAGAGTCTTATTTTCAAATAAGTTCAAATGACAAACAACAGCCAGGCCACAATATTGTAATTTTTAAAATTTTTAAAAGATTATTCTGGCACAGACCTACTTGATAACAAATCAGAATGATAGCATTTCACAGTTTCTAATTGTTCTGATTTTGTTGAAGTTTAATCGGTAATTCAGAAACCTCCTCAAGTAGAATGACCACGAATTACACTCAAGACCATCATTGCTGTTAGCCTCACAGAGTGTGCCATTGCCAAACGTATATATGAAGAGTGTTGAACAAAAACCTGATTCTATTTTTTAGGAGGTAGTCATTTAAAATAGCAATTACAAACAAAGTGTCAACAGCGTATGGTATGGACATGCTGCTGACCACCAGCTGTACTAACATTGGCTATTTATGTTAAGAACAAGGATTCATATAAATGCTTTTTCTCCTCTTGGTTGAGAAATCAGCAGGTATGGTTAAAAAAGAAAAAAGAAGGATAGGGAAAAAGAGCCAGCATAAGAATCGAGAAACGTAGTCCAGGCTCTGCCACTTAAATGCTGTGTCATTTGTGACAAATCACTTAACTTCTCTGGGCTTCAGTTTCTTGTTCTGCAAAATCAGCAAGGTAGAATTGATAATGTTGAAGGTTGTGCGTGGTTTTGACATTCTGAGCTATTTGCGAATGAAAAGTGGACCTGATTCTCAGTACATACTGTGGCATACCAAATAGTAGATATCCCAAAACTAATTCAACTTACTTTGGTGAATATTCCAGATTTTGCAATCTTTATCATTGTTTATCTTTCTCATTGTTAAGCCCAAAGTGAAAGTCCAAGACAGGACCATAACAAAGGCACAAGGGTTGATGAACCAAGACTGAACCCCTTGGTTGCTAATAATTTGGGGAGACCTACAGAATGCCACAGTAGATAGCCATGTTTAAGCACCTCTAGCCAAAATATTACTGAGTGTCAACCTGTCCCAGACTCTAATATGACAGGGCAAGAACCCTGCTGGCCAGGAGCACTAACACTCATGGCTGTGGAGTCACTTCCTTCAGATGTAGGAAGAAAATAGAGAAGCTTATTTGAGGACACTGGTAAGTTACCCTCTGATAAGAAATGTGAAAAAAGAAAACATTAGTGTTTTTCGTTTTCTGCATCCACATTCAATTCTTACATGTTCTACCCCACTCCCCCTCTAAATCTGTAAATTAAGGAAACAACATTGCCATATTGAAAGAGATTGCACTAATTTTGCTTGGAAAACAGAAGAATTAAAAGCTCTATTTCACATAGGGTGGGCCTGGTTGGAGTGGTGAACTGAGAGGTAAGAGATAGCTAGAAGGAGGTCGCTGAACTCATATGGGATGGGGACCTAGGAGATAAGAAATGTGCACAAAAAAGGAAAATGCCACAGACAGATTTGATTACCTGGAATTTTTGCGTGATGTTGAGCTTTATCATGACCACTCCCCCAACTTTTGGCAGGTTCTGTCCTTTCTTCACCTGAGGATACTGATTGGCTGAAGGAATTAGAATGATCCAAGCAGAGGGAATGGGTCTCATGTTGATACTTAAATTGACCATGTGCAGCGAACTACAGCAGTAAATAGGTGTATTTTTGGCACACCACGGACATGCTCAGTGGAGTTCAGTGGAAATTATAGGGACTTTAAGTTTTCCAGGTTTTTATTAAGATATTTAAAAACCCACACAAATGGAAATTTCTCAAACCTGCAGATACCCGAATTGGCTATTTCTCTGATTCTAGAACTAAGGAACATAAATATTCTGAAAATGTGGAAATGTTTGTTGTATTGGAAACTATAAGTGGAAGAATATATATCTTAGAATGGTTTTATTACTCTAAAGGACATTTAAGAAAGTATGTCTAGAAATAGAAATATCTCTAAAAGATGATTTTTTTTCAGATTATAAATGGTTCAATACTTGGCTTAAAAAATAGTGTGAAATATCAGGTACACCTTAAATACACAGAATTTTATTTGTCAATTATACCTTATAATAGCTGAAAAAATGACTGAACACTTATCAAGCTTTACTGTCAGGGCTCCCTTTGATGCTATTTTTGTAGTGCTATAATTTCATCATAAAAAAGTAAAAGTTGCTTTCTGGAAATTTTTGTCAGAAAGAACCTCCACCTTATTATCTGAACAATGGGTGGACTTCTTTAACATTTGAATGGATACTGTGATGCCTTATTGCTGACAATACCTGCCAGTCATTGAGTATCTACTCTAAGCTGGGCAGTTTGCATATAATTTGTCATTATTCCCATAATGGTCTTTGAAGTCAGTACCACCAATAGGATACCAGCTCAGAGACATCAAATAACTTTTTAAGATCCCTCAGAAAGTTTAATAAATGGCAAAGCCTGTATATATCACAATCCTCTGTTCTCTTTCAGCTTCTTTATGAAGAATTTCTTGTGGAAGTAGCACAAATATTTAAGTAAAAAGGGGTTAAAGCGATTTCTTTCAAATAGTCTAGATCCTCTCCTTTTTGTTACTGTAAAACATTTAATACATACCAAAAGACAAGAAGTTACATTAATAACTTATAAAGCATAATAATAAACACCTGTGAGGCCTTTATCCGACATAAGAGATATTACTTTACTAACCCTATTAAAGTTCTCTCAGTACTTATCTTTCCTGTCCTTTGACCTACAGGTAATCATTAATGTGCTGTATTTTTAAAATTATTTCTTTTCCTTTCTTTAATAGTTTTAACCATATGTTTTAGACCTTTATAAAATGGAATCTTATTTAATGTATTGTTCCTCAGATTTCTCTCCCCCAACTTAAAATCATGTTATGAGGATTTATCCACATGAATTTACTTAACTGTGATTTATTCATTTTCATCACTATCAAGTATTCCCTTGTACATCATAATTTGTTTATTCAGTCTTCTGTTGGGCATTTTAGTTGTTTCCAGGTTTTTGCTCTTTTAAACCATGCTGCTGTGAACACTCTTAACACATGCCTGCTCTTTCACTGTGGCATAACTAAGAGTAAAATGGTAAGCTCCTAGGATATAAACATAGTACATTTTGGTAAGTAATACAGGGTAGAATTCCAAAGTCGTTTTGGCACAATGACATCAGCAAAAAATGGCAGTTTAAACCTCTGAAAATTCTTTTCTCCATAGAATCAGTGACAAAACTGGTAAAATGTACAGGATTAAGATTTTTAAAACTCTGGAAAGTAACCAAAAGCTTGCAGCAACTCAGGGGAAGCATATATTCAAAACAAAACTGTCTAAGTCTTGGTAAAAACAGTGAGCTTTGTGATGTTTTAATTCACCCTATTCTCATCTTACCCTTTCCAGTTCCACAGTAGCTTTAACAAATAACAGCCTGCATTCCCAGTGAAAACCAGTAACTTGGCAATCTCCAGACAGGGCATAATGGGATTGGAGCTTCTTCAAAGCTTCCTTCCCAGAGAGTTGCCAATATTTGGCCTGTCTGGTGCTTCAGTACAAGGCCCTACTTGCAAAACTGTCTTTATTTGACCTGACTTGGAGTATACCTGATGTGAAAAGCCTTTTCTCAGAAGTATTTCTTGAAAAAATTAAAAGTAATTGATTAACTTCGTGGCTGCCTAAAGTTGATGACAACAATTAAGA